ATGTGTGCTGAGAGTGCACAACTTTTGCGCATCATCATCCAGAACAAGTTGATTGTAGGCGCCAGATAAATCGAGTTTGGTGAACAATTGTCCTCCTTGCATTGAAGCGAAGATTTCCTCAATACGCGGTAGTGGATACCGAAAGTCTTTAAGGAATCGATTTATCGTTGACTTATAATCGCCACATATTCTGATTTCACCATCAGATTTTGGAATGGGTACAATTGGCGTACCCCAATCTGAGTCATTTACAGGTGTGATGATGTCTTGTTCGACTAACTGTTGTAACTGTTGCTCAATTTTCTCACGAAATGCCATCGGTATGGGTCTGGCCTTACAAAAAATTGGCGTGGCATCATTGATTAATGGAAGCTTGATAACAGTTGTGTTGCATTTCCCTAAACCACTTTTGAAAATTTCAGAAAAATCACTTTTGATTTGCGAGATGATCTCATCGTATGAATCTACAAAATTTACAGAATTGTTCGATTGCACTAGATCAAATTCAAATTTTCTCAAGAAATCACGGCCTATTAACGTTGGTCTATAATAATTGGTCACAACAATTCTTCCACACTCGATCCGTCCATGCAAATTAACACAAGCTTTGAACTCACCCAAAATATTTAATTGGTCACCTCCGTAGCCCGTGAATGGTTCTGTGCATGGTCGCAATATGCTTCGATCGAACAGTGAATTGAAGACCTGGATAGACATGAGAGAGCACGGAGCACCGGTATCACAGTCACATGTGTGGTCAATCCCATTAATGCCAACCGTTAGCCTGTACGGCAAGTCCGCTCCGTTCCCGATCGAATACACGTGATTCTTGCGTTCATCGAAATCACCAACTTCTCCGTGGTTAATGCTGTATACGGAATTCAAAAAATTATTAGCATCACGATAATTGTAATCATTTTGAATATATTGAATGGAATTATTGTTTTTCTTAGCCTTGTTGGAGCAAATATTCGCTAAATGCCCAATAACCCCACATTTATGGCAAGCCTTGTCCTTGAAACGACATTGATTCGATGCATGATTTTTGCGTCCACAGTGTGTACACTTCCCGTTATTTGCCTTTGTCCCGTTGCTGTTGTTGTTGTTGATCTTCGGTGCCTTCTGCTTGTTGCCTCCACCACGTGGTTTCACATAGTCAACCTCATTGCTCCATGCGGTCGCCCCATTTTGTTGGTTAAGTTTGGTTTCACGTAGCATAGCCTTTTTGAGTGCATCACTTGATGATAATTTGCCATCCTCTTCGCACAACTTCTCAAATATCCTTGGTGGCAATTCGCAAACAAATTTGTCTACTACGAAATTGTCCAAATTTGCGTCGAAGCTGCAGTCGATTGCAAGTTTTTTCACTCTGGCAAACCATGATGCAACAGTCTCACCTTGTGCCATTTTTGCTGCGTAGAAATTTTTTCTTTCTTGAAACACAATTTTCGGTGGCGTGTATTGTTGCTTCAGAAGGGCAATTAAATCATCGTACGATTTCTTTGCCGGTACCGTTGGACTGCACAAGCTGTGAACAACACCATATGCTTCCGAGCCGATTGATTTCAACAACGTGGAAATTTTCACCGTATCCGATTCGCAGCCAATCTCCAATAAATGCATTTCGAAGCGTTCGTGCCATAATGTCCAATTTTCGGTCACTTGAAACTCCGGCATTGACGATGCTTGCACGATTTGAGTTGTCGATTTAGCTACTGATTCTAGTCCCATTTCGCTCTTATTACTTTATTACTTTGATATTAAATACTTTGATAAAAAAAAAATGTGCGTAAAATTTACTGCGCTATGAAAATTTAATTTGAAATTTTCCTAAGTTCTTTTTTCCTTTGTCGCCAATTATGTGGTGTATCGGTAATGAAAAGATGCGAGTGAATTGAATGCTATGACAAGAATGAATGCTCTTTATTGAATTACTTATAGCTAAACATGCGAATGTAGAAATGTCAAAGTGAACCATTTCAATGAGTCAATCGTTTCATACGTGCAACTATGAACTGTCAACTTTATTCATATTCAACA